CTGTCTGAAAGCCTTGTCAGAGGCGGGCACGTTTGGCTGCCTCAGCTGTTGTTTAAAGAGAGAGGATTAGGAAGGGTCTGGCTGTGCCTCATCCCCTCCTCCTACTTTTGTGCCTTCCTTTGAGACCCTCCTCAAGGATGGCAGGGGGTGGGCAGGGGGCTGCGTGGGGGCGGGGAAGGCTCCGTCAGCAAGGTGTGCTTTTCCCTTGGCTGGGATTTATTTCAAGTGAAAATCCGTGTGTTTGCCCTGGGTTCACACTTGCCCCAAACACATCAACCTTCGTGCTGTAAGTTGATCAATTCCAGTAATGCTGTGCTCCATCAGTCCTGCAGGGCCACACTCCGAGCACCTCAACCAGGAAGGGTGAGGGGACCGCGTGGGGCATGGCTCCTTCACACCAGGGCAGGGTGGGGATGGCTGTTCTCTAGCCTTTTCCTGGGTGCCAGTGAAGCCAGGCCCTCTGCAGAGTGCCATAACAGCATAGGAGGAGGCACGGGACCTCCCTGGATTTGTGTGCTCACCACTGCAAGACAGCTCCGCGCTGGCCCTGACTCGCGGTTAAGGCATGGCCAGGACTCATGGCTGCTCACCCAGCCTCATTTTTCATTCATTCATCTGGGATTAATCACCCCCTGTGTAGCCAGTGCTGAGAGGAAGAATGGGGCATGGCCCGTGCCCTTGAGGAGAGGGGAGATGGGGGCCAGATGCTAGGGCTGGGGCATGCTACTCCCAAGGCTGGGTGTAAGTGCCTGGGTCAGGCTGCAGCAGAGAGAGGCTGGTCCTGAAGGCGGGGGGGGATATGGGAGGTGCAATTGATTGGAAGAAGTGCATCAGAAAGCCGACTTTGGCACTAGGCCTTGAAGAAAAGGATTTCACAGTGGAAAATGACATTCCAGGCGTTAAGCATGAAGGAATCGTTCTGTGATGAAGAAGGGAGAGCCGCTCTAATTATAACTGACACACTGATTTAAACATTTATTCACTCCAACCACACAAATATACACGTGCATGTACACTCACAGCACAAACAACAGGGAGGGGGTATCCTGGGGGCTCCACCTTCGGCTGCAGCTGAAGTCCTTCTACTGAACAGGACTCTGGTTTTCTGACCCACTCTAGCATTCCATGTCACACAGTCCACTGCTACACCGTGCATTCCAGTGACCAATGGTCTGTGGCCAAGGGCTGGCCGGATGTCCCTTGGGATTTTCAGTGACTGATTTAGGTGAAAGTACCCTCTGTCTGGTCTGGAAAGAACCTGGTATTTGTTCCTTCTGATTTGTTCCAGTTCTCCTGGAAGCAGACTCTTGATGGAGATTTGCTGATTGAAGAATCCTCCATCAGAGAGTAAGCATCCATCCCTGGGAGAGAAAACCAAAGGCCAGACTGGGGAGAGAGGAAGTTGAATTGCAGTATGATTGCACTAGAGGGACAACTGATTCCATGGGGATCTCTGTGAACTGTGATGCCCCCCCCCCACCCTGAGATCCACGTGAGGAGGCAGGGCCTTTATATACCAGTATCCACCCAACATTGGTAGTTTGCTGCCCATGGGAGTGGATGTGGCAGTGGGCAAAACCAGCTCTGTTGGCAATTCCAAGAGGAGGCTGGGCTGAACATCTTTAGAAGGTGCCATTGCCAGCCAAAGACTTGCAAACCTTGGCTGGGAAGGAGAATCTGGGGGCCTTCACCAGGTCTGCTGTGGATGGCTCCATAGAATCTGTTGTTTTAGGTCAAGGCCTCTAGGTGGGAGAGGGAGGAGCCACACTGGACTTCCAGGTTATGGAAGTCTGGGAGATGATTATGGCTCATGGCCCTGCCTCAGGTTCCTGCAGCACCTCCAGGTACCTCTAATAACTCCCAGTCACACACATGGACATGTACCCAGAGTGGTCACTGTGTCCCTGCTTTTGATTCAATGCGTGTGTGTGTGTGTGTGTGTGTGTGTGTGTGTGTGTATTGGAGATCGAACCCAGGGCCTTTGCCCTTTAAAAAATATTTTTATTTTGAGACAGGGTCTCATTATGTCACTAAATTACCTCAGCTGTGCTGGAACTTGGGATCTATCCTGTCTCTGCCTTCCAGTGCTGGGATTCTAGGTCTGCACCAGTACACCTGGTATGATTCAACTTTTTAACACCCTGCAATGGTCCTTCCCATTGAGGCTAGGCAGAGAGAAAGCAGTGTGTGCTCACAAAGTTTCTCCTGCTCCCCGCTTTGTAAGAGGGGAAGATTAGGAATCACCACCCCATCTTTCGCGTGGGAAAACAGAATGAGAGGGTTCAGCAACTTGCTTGTGGTATGCAGTGATATGTGGGGAACCTGAACCCCAGAAATAGCAGTATCCCTTTATAACAATCACTCGGCAGAAGAATTAACCCTTAGCCTATAATCTAAGAGTCCCCACCGTGGTAGATAAGATTGTTATTTCTCATTGTGACTCTATCCTATCAGGGAATGATCCATCCATAGCCTTTGACATGGAACTTGGTGGTTCTTCCTACAAGTGTCAGTTATTATTCTTACCCAGTCAGTGCTGGACTTTGCCATGAGACTGGCTTTAGCCAATGGAATGTGAGTGGCTGTGATGTGAACTGAGGCTTTCCATGTGATTGCATGGTTTGGGTGGCCTTTTATGCTCCAGCCATGGCCCTGTACAGCACTTATCCTGCATAGCTATTTGTCTGAATGAGGAGTACAACAGATTTGAACCAACATTTACAATCTGGAGCTGAGTCCAACTGAGCCAGGCTGAACTCAGCTAAATTATGGCTGACCTGTAGATTGGTGAGAAAAGCAAATGTTTATTGTCATGAGCTACTGAGGCTTGGAGGTCTGTTTGTTACACAGGAGTATCATAATGATAGCTGACTGATACATTAACCCTGATTGTCCTCTAGAATTATGGGGAAGTTTAAACTTATACCTATACTCAGGTATAACTCCCAGAGACTCTGATTTAACTGGTGTGAGGTACAGCCCAAGCACTAGTATTTTCCTTTATGGTCCCCAGAGGATACAGGACCAAAAGCCAAGGCACACCTATATATGTTAATCAGGGAAGAGCCTTTGCAAAATTATGAAATCTTTAATACACAGCCTTCTCTTTTCAGCGCTCCTCTGTCTTATGACTTTGGCTTCCCTGTCCCCATCAATGCCTTTCTTTTTTCCTTTAGACCCTTTTTTTCATTGTCCTTTTATATTGGAGTGTGAATTCAAATAAAAGAATTGCTTCCCCTGGTGTTATTTGCAATTCAAAATTCATCTCTATATTGTGGAATAAAAGACTTACCTCCCATTAAAAGATTTGTAGGCAAAACTGGGCAGAAGAGTAAAAGAGTTTTAGGGGGGCAGACAAGTTATCCCAAATCCCTTCCATACCAGGCAACCAGATCTACCAGAAGCGAGGAGTCATGGGATGGAAAGTCATTCTGAGACTTGGGTTGCTCAAGGAATTTGTTTCCAATGCACAGAATTGGGTGAGATCCAGCTGTGGTGGTGGCCTGCCTGTGTAGAGGTCTTCTGGAATGTTCCAGAGGAATGCAGCTACTGTTTTTGGCTATTGATGCCTGTTTTCCATATCCACAGGCTCCTCAATCTCCTAGGCCACAAACCAACCCTGAAACAAGCTAGGGCAGGCTCCTCCCCTACCTTTGGAGCCTGAGGTCTCCTTCCCAGCCATTCCCCTCACCCCTCAGGGTCCAGACAGCCCTGCTTTAGGCTCTCCAAACCCAAAGGGCTAATCTTACCCTCTCTTGCAGACAACAGAGCTTGATTATCTGGACCCAGACCTTTAAGTCACAAAAATCAGTTTTCACACTGGCTTCAGGGAAGCCCACATGGGCCTGGCAGCTCTCCACTTTTTATCCTTGAACACAGAAGGCCTATTTCATTTAGTCCGGTGGCAGTCCTGCCTCAGTGGTGACTCACACTCCCAAAGGGAACCCAAGAGAGTCCTTTCTACTTCTCTAAATAAAATAACAGGGAAAACACAAGCTTAATCTCTGGCAAGACATTCTGCTATTACCTCTTTCCTCAAAAGTTCAGGTGTTACAAGAGACACTGTGGCGTTTAAGAAAAGCAATAACAAGTACCATTCTCCATATGCATCTAGTGCTTCCTTTGGGAATTGATAGCATTTGGGGTGGCACTGTGATATACTGGTCCCCTTTAGTGAGGAACTGGTTGACCCAGCCACTGGAAGTGGTATTGTACCTTCAGTGGGCAGTGTCTACAGGGACTACCTCAGCAGTAGGGACCTTCGGTGACACCCCTTCCTGGAGTATCTCACATCCATTGACTAAGAAATTCAATGGTGTAAAGGTCTGGCCATTTCAGCCTAATGGGGGACAACTCTGAGGGGCCGTTGCAGTTTCAGGGCTCTCCCTGGGCACTGAGGTCAGAACACTCTGGAATGGTGAGGCCCCCTTTTGATAACAAAATCCTGTTCCAAGGGGTTGTTGGTCAAATGCAGTGGTGGCGAACCTATAGCACACATGCTGCAGTGGGCTGTTTGTTATCATTGAAAGCTTTTTAAGGTTTGCCATCACTGGTCTAGTGCCAGCTGAAGAGAGTCACCTTGTCCTTAACTTCCTGGGATTCCCTGCTGGGCTACAATGGGCTTCACTCCTGCTTGGTGTTTGAGAAAACAGTCCACAGACCTTGTGGCCACAGATTTCTTGTTCCCAAGAGGAAATGTCCCCACTTCTTAGCAATCATCATTTTATAAGGATAAATTCTGTTCTTCATCATTTGAAATAGAGCATGTATAATCTTGAGAAGAATTAATTCTTGATAATGGGTGGTCTCATAAATGACTAGATAACACACTCAGAATCACCAGATGACGAGCATAATAATAATAATTATAACAAGACAATTGTGCTGTATTTATTTTAAATAGTTGTTTACCTTCCTCTTCATAGAACGTAGAGTCAGGGTTATTAGGAAATAGGAAAATTTCCTGATTTGAGCTTTGCTTCTTATATCTTCCCCTGTAGGAAGAGTCTCTCTGAGCACTAAGATGGTCCAAAGCCTGCCCAGGTGAAGTACATGGAGGGGAAACAGATGTTGTTGTTTGGATTGAAGATGTCCCCCAAAGGCCTCGTGGACTCACAGGCAGGGCTTTTAGAAGGTGAGTGAATCATGGGGCTTTATAGCTGACTTGCTTTTGGGAAGTAGGATCTGTTCAGAAAAGACAAGTCACTGGGGGTGACTAGAAGGATGTTTCTTCTTTCCAGCTCCTCTCTTCTTTCCCTGCTTCCTGGTTGTCATGATGTGAGCAGCTTTCCTCCAGCCATGCTCTCTGCCATGCCATTTCTGCCTTGGAACCAGCTGACTGTGGACTGTAACTGTGCATCAAAATAAACCTCCTCAAGTGGAGGAAAACCACTGCAACCCCTGCTGACAGTCGCTAGGAGCACAAGTGAAGCCACTGTGAGTGTGCAGCCCCAGCTGAGCCTCCAGATGACTACAACTGTGTGAGAGACCCGAGTGGACACACTGCCCAGCCAGCCTACAGACTCCTGAGAGAAATAATCAATCATGGTTGTTTTAAACCACTAAGTTTGGGATGGTTTGTTATGCGGCAATAGCTGACAAATACACCTTGCAAACAGAGTCAGCAAGAGCATGCAAGAGAGGTGAACATCTGCTCCCTGGAGTTGGTGACATGTGCCTCACCCCAAAAGATGAATGGCTTGGAGAACTAGCTTGGGGTGGAGGAGCTGTGTAGTGTGCATGCTGAAGGTGGTTTAGGCAGTGAAGTTCTAGAATCCTGGTGTGGCTCCACAGCACTTAGCATTACCCTTCAGAACTTGTGTTTCTCTGCGCAGGACTCTGGTGGCCTGTTGGATGCATGAGCCACGAAAGCATTAAGAATCTGTGGTCTCAGAGTGTTTCTATAGCAGGGAAGAAGTAAGAGGTGATAGTCATGTGTCCACACTCAGAGGTGCAGGCTTGGGGGTGTGGTGGAGGCAAAGGGAAAATGTGGTGTCCAGGAAATCCCCCATCTCATTTTTTGGACTAGAGAAATGGTCCTTCGAGCAGTCAAGCCAATAGAAGGGACTGGGCCCTGTGACGTTTTCAAAGCCACCTAAAGCATAGTTTTGCCTTTTTGTGTGTGAAATATAAAAGAATGAATGAACAAGACCTCATGAATTGGGTTGGGGAGGATGGAGAGGAGGACTTAGGGAATGAAAAAAAAAGTTCCAATCATTAAGTCTACCAGCTAATAAGATTAATTTCCAAGGCTTATAGAGTGTCTACTGTATGCCAAGCAGTGTGCTAAGTGCTTGGCATGCCTTGTCCCATTCACTCCTTATGACATTTCCAAGGATCATGGTACTGTGACCCCCCCCCCATGATAGACATAAGTCAACTCATGTTCTAGGCAGATGCTGCCTGCTGCTCAAAGCTCAGCCAGGTTGGCAACATCCCCTGTAACAGCGTGTGACCAGCACTGTCTTGGTGATAGGGGTGTAATCAAAGGTGCTTGGAGAGCAAGGTGAGCTTCCCCACTTAAATGCCTTCAGTAGGCTGCGATGAGCCAAAGGTGCAAGTGCAGTGTGGTACGGCCAGTGTGCTGAGATGCGTCACCTCTGGCCAGTCTCCAGCACCGCTCCCCAGCCCCACAACACTGTTGGCGTTGGCTTGGGAGGTGGGCAGCATGGAGGAGAGCAGAATGCAGCCATGAGAGGGGGCAGGGAGAGGAAGGACTGACACTCTCGGGTTTCAGGAAAGCACAAAGCCAAAGGAGGCAGAGATTACCTGTTTGTGCAATCTGGCCTCAGGCTATCAGCAATCCCAACCTGCCTCCAGCCCCCAACCCCCCTCCCCGTGGGCTGAGCAGTGCTGGAGCTTGGGAGAAGCAGCCTTGGGGACAATCGGGGTCTGGGAAGTGGCAGAGCCTGGGCACAGGCAGGACTGCTGGAGAGCTACAATCCACGCTTTATTTGAGGGAAACTGAGGCTCAACTGCCTATCCCATGGTTGCTTAGAGAAAAGGGCAGGATTTCAAAACTGGTGGCAAAGAAGAGCAGGCCAAACAGCAATCAGGTGTGGCTTCAGTCCCCTCTTTCCCATAATCAGCATTTTTTTTTTTTTTTTTGCCTGTCTTTCCCCTCCCTTCTGCATCTAAGCCTTCAGTTTCCATAGTGGATGCATCTTGGAGCAGGCAGGAAATGCCTCACCATCTCTCTGGAAATAGATGTTCTTTGAATCAGCCTCATCAGTATGATGAAGAAATAGAGAGCAGATCTAATCTATTGGCGCATTTTTCTAATTACCAGATTGATTTACCAGAGAAATCTCCCCAGGAATTTGACTTCTCGGCAAGGTCTTTGCAAGCTCTAAATTTGTTCTCTGAAAAAAGCCCCACAAAATCCTGACAGATTTGGGGGGAACTGGGTCCCTCTAATCAGGGCACAGAGCTTATTTGTTTTCTAATGGAATCTGAATAGAATTGAATGCACAGCCACTCTGTGTGGAGCACATTCATATTTTTAATTAACAAATTAGGAGCTATTTTGTTCCCCCTTTGAACACCAGTCATGTGGGCCTGGTTCCTTTTCGGCCAATTTAGTCAACTTGGATGATTTTAATTACAACAGTCACGAGCACCAGAAATTCCTGCGTCTGACAGATTCGCGACCTGGTCCATTGACTCTCATTTAAAAGCAAGTTCTCCATGAACAGAGATCTCCGAGGGCGCCAGTGGGCGTCAGGAGAGGGGGCCCGGCATGGTGCCTTTGGGCACGGGGAGCCTCGTTTTCCACGTGGAGTCCTGATTACAAGGTGGTCAGCTGTCCCGGCCGGGCCTTCCCATTTTTAAGAAGCAGCAGCCCTCCACGGAAGTGCTTCTGAAGCTCCGGAGGAAGCACTTTGAAGCGCCTGGACAGGGAGGAATTGCGCTCCTGGCTTCTTTCCTTGGAAGCTTGGCCTCACTCCCACGCTTCTCAAACTTCAACAGACCCAGGAACCCCCTGGGGAATGTTGTTAACAGGTAGACCTTGATTTAGTTGGCGTGGGGGTGAGGCCCGAGATTCTGCATTTTCGATGAGCTGGCCACTGCTGCTGATCGTCGGACCACACTTTGAGTAGCAAGGCTTTGGCTGATTTCTCTATTTCTGGTGGATTGCAGAACCTCAAAGGGAGCCAGAGGCCTGAAAGACACTCACATAAAGCACAGGCGTGGTGATCAGGTTTGAGAGTTGGAAGGCAAGTGGGAGGGAAAATCTTGCTTCAGTTACAGCATCTCCCTGGGGTGCTGAGCAGGAGAGACCCCACCCCTGACAAGCCTGATCCTTCCTCAACCATGCTCCCTATGCACAGTGCATCGCCTTGCCTTCCATTACAGGACGGCCAGCCCCGTGTGCAAAGGGCTGTGAAGTGGTCTCATTGAGCCAGGTGTCTGGGTGAGGTCCCAGACTTTGAGGGCTGGTGGAGCCAGCAAACCACCCCGGAGGCAGAGTCCATCCTGGAAACAGATCTGTCCTCCAGCCTTCCCTGTGCCAGCAGAATGGATGCTGAATTAGCAAAGCTGAGAGAACAGGGAATGGGGAACACAATGTTCCCTGAGAGGTTGCAATCAAAGGGGTCCCAGCCCCCCACCCCCTGCTGAGAATTCTGTGAATTTATGATGTGTCGACAGTTTGAGCCCTAGCACATAGCAGTCTGATGGGCTACAATTAGGAGAGCGTGTTAAGCCCCTCCCTAGTCCTCCATCGTGTATTCATGGAATTTATGTGGTCTCAGCAAAGTGAGCGATGTGCACATTTGGGGCAGGAATTTTAGAACTATGATGTCATTATCCCAGGAGAGGTGGCCAGGAGAGGAGAGAAGAATAACAGTAGGGATAAAGTAAAAAATCCCAAGCTGACTTGGGTCTGGATTCAAAACAAACTATGTGTCATAATTATTTTTATGACATTTTTGAGGCCATTGGAAATTTGGAGCCCTAGGTATTTGATGACATCAAGGAATTTTTGTTAATTTGGGGGTGCCAGAATGGGATTATGGTTATGCTAAACTGACAGTCCTTACCTTTAGTGATGCATACTGAAATATTTATGGAGGAAATGATCTGATGTGTGGGATTTGCTTTAAAATGATACAGAAATAGGAGAACTAGATGAGGATATGAAAGATTGATCACGCACTGACCATTGTCAGAGTTGTGCGGTGGGTGCATGGGAGTTTATTATGTAGTTCTATTTTTGTATGTGTTTCAAATGCTCCATATTAATAGGTTAAAAAACTCCTAGTGCACATCATTCATTTTGCTGATAACACATAAATTCCCTGAATACATGATGGAGAGGAGAAGGGGAGGGAAAAGAAGGGAAAGCAAGAGGAGGGGAGATTCAACATTATGGAAAGGATATTGCCTTATGGCTTGGGTATGGTCTGAGTGTGTCCCCCAAGGGTTCATGCACTGGGAGCTGTTCCTCAGTGTGGGGATGTGGGAGATTCTGGAACTTTAAAAAGGGGCCTGGTGGAACGTAATTAGGCCATTGAGGGTGCTGTCTTTGGAAGAGCTCATCTGGCCCTTGCCTCTTTCCAGCTTCCTGTCTCACTATGTGCTGTCTTCTCCAGTGTACCCTGCCATCCACCATGATGTGACCTACCCACGGGGACCTCCTCAGAGCTAAGCAGGTGTCGGTGCCTGTGCTATTGGACCTCCAGGCCTGGAAGCTAAAGAGACTTCTTTTCTTTATAACTTCCCAGCCTCAGATATTTTGCTGTAGCAATGAAAAAGGGACTGATGCATTGTCTCCTTTTCTCCTACACTCTGGGCTCAGAAAGAGGAGAAAAAGTGATCAGAACATGATGAGCCAATCCAACATACCTTGGCAGTGCTCTGTAAAGCAAAAGACTTCACTTTTGAAGAGTGTGTGGGAGCTTAGTTTTTTACTCTGTCTGGGGAGAAAACCTTAGCCTATTTTGGAATATATTTCCATAGCTTTAATTTATTTCATTCATCTGTCTCTGTGGTTATCTGTCTAGCTTTTCAGGTAAGTAGGACCTTGGGGATGAGGTTATTGGTTTGTTTGACCCTTGTCCTCACCCAGAGATTCTAGACTAGCTGCACCAAGCAGATCAAGAGCATGATCTGAGGTTCTGAGTTGTGAAGGAGAATGTCATAGCCATGTCCATCAGAGCCGAAGCTAACCAAGGTGGCAGTGACTATTTAGCCTTGAACTGAGTTGTCCAGGGAATGGTGAGGACAAGGAAAATCATATGACTAGGTAGGGTAGGAAGAGGTACAGACATGTGTTTCAGTAATTTCTGCTCACAATCACCAGTTTCTAACAATGGCTTAGGTATCAGAAATCAACCTGGCTACCATTAATTATAACAGTTAAACTTTATTGAGCATTTACTATGAATCCAGCTCCGTGTTATCACTTTATATGATGAGTGCCTCTGATGGAGGTGTCAATATCATTCCCATTTTCAGATGAGAAAATTGTGGCCTACAGAATTTAAGCAATTTGCCCAATTTTGCACCCTAGGCACCTCATGCACTTCACCGTAGCCCCAGCCCTGATCAGGGTTCAAGCCCAGTTCTGTACCATGTCTGCATCTGCACTCCTGAATGAGCACCCAGGGACTTTTCTCCTTTAGAAGGGGATTGCTTGAATAAGGTGGGTGGGGGTTATGATTCAGGGAGCAAGAACTCTAGCCTGGAATTGGTGGGATAAAGCAGAAGGAGAAAATAATTGATAATCCCTTTGTGTCATCCTTGAACTTTGCATGTTAGGATTACGGACTTTATTGTAGGGTCTGCTCTCCTGTGCAGTAGCACTTCACCCATCCCAGGAGACTGAGTAGTGGAGATGATCGGTTTCCCCACCTGCGCCTGTCGAGCCCCAAATCTGTGCACTCGAACACTAGAGACTTTCACCTCAAATTTCCCTTTGTCAGTTTCATTTGCACCAATGATTGGTCTTGGTTGTGGGAACTTTACCTGATGTTTGTACCTATTTTAAAATTAGATAAAGACCTTTGCTCAGGCCTTTTGTCCTATATACTGCTGATGGGAGGGTAAATTGGGCTAATGCCCTTACACAGCTGCTTAGTAATACCTGTTAAGTCTAACCCTAAGTTATCCCACAAACCAACAGCTGCACTGGTACATGTATGCCACAGAATGTTCATAATAACAGCTTGGTTCGTAATCGCTCCAAACTGGAACCTATTCAAACATCCATCGACACAAGGATGGAGAGCTAAACCGGAATGTGGCACAGCAGCAAAAAGGAAGGATCCTGGACGAGTCTCACAGACAAAATGAAGAGCAAGGAAGGCAAGCATGAAAAGTGTGTGATGTGTGATTTATTTCATTTATACACAACTCAAAGACAGGCAAAACTTATCTACAGTGATAAGAATCAAAACAATGGTTGTCTTTAAAAAGTAATTGATTGAGAATAGGTGCAAGGGGGGTTTCTGGGATGCTGATGATGTCGTATCTCTTCTTGAATTAAAAATATATTAATAGGGCCGGGGATTTAGCTCCGCGGTGCTGCCGCCTGCCTTGCAAGCTCAAGGTCCTGAGTTCAATTCCTGGTACCAAAAAAAAAATATTAGTTTTCTCTCTTTTTCATTTGGGGCAGGGTTTAATTTACCCTCTCAATATCACACTTGCAAACTACAGCGATGATTCTAGAAAGTTTAACCAGAGCTGGGTGTGGTGTTGGTGCATGCCTATAATCCCGAAAGGCCGAGGCAGGAAGATCACAAGTTCAAACCCAATCTGGGCAATTTAGTGACTTAGCAGCCCTGTTTCCAAACAAAAAATAAAATAAAATAAAATAAAGGGCTACGGATGTCACTTAGTGAGAAGGCCTTGGGTTTAATTCCCAGTACTTAAAAGTTTCAGCAGAAAGAGATTTGTTAAAAGGTATTAATTAAGTAGGTATTAGGTCCCGGGTAGGGCCAAAGATCTGGCCTTGTTTGCTTCAGAGCCAGGGCAATGCACCCAAGACAATTTAGCAGGCAACACCCAACCACACACAGTGAGTGTTCTCACTCAAACAACCCTGACCTTTCGGCCTAGAACTCAGCACCTTTGACTCTCAGCAGTGAGTGCTAGAAAGTCGGACTTGGCTGTCTCAAACCAGATGCCCCTGTGACCATTCTTCCACTCGACTGATTGGGGCTTATGCTTCCCATTACTCATGTCTGCATCCAGATCTTATTGTGTGTGAATGATTGGTGGAATGCAGGTCACATGCCTGACCCCTGATTATAGAGAATCTTGGGAATTGTAGTTTGTAGCTTTCAGGCCCTTTAATAGAGGAAGGCAAGCTAAAGGTGTTGGACTGTGTGGTAAGTGAGCCTGTCACACTTCCCCTTTGCCTGTTTTCTTCCCCAAGGGGAAGGGGATGCAGCAAAGTCTTGTCCCTAGCAAGGAGGCTGACTTCCCATTTTCCATGGAGCTTTTGTACATTTAGCTCTGCATGACCCCCCTTCCTCCCAAAGCCCTGAAGCAGGGCCTCTGTTGGCTCCAGATGGATTCCTTCACATGGTTGACTGAAAAGACTAAAGTCACTGATTTGGAAAACACAGTAGAACCACAGGCCAAATTTCACCCACAAGAGAGAAATATGAATAACTCTCAGGACACCTCAGGGGATTTCTGCGAGTATGCTCCTCTATTATTTCCTGAAAAATTCAGAGCCTTTGACTTAGAAATTATATTTGACAATTGCAGTCAATTTTCACCAATTCAATCAGATGGATGCATTTTGATTCATTACTGTGCTTTGTAGGGAGGCCACTGTATTTGTGTAGGTGTGGCTGGAGAATCCTTGTGCGGTAGAAGCTGAGTGGTGGAGGGGGGAAAGCTAAGAAAGGAATCTATTTGTATCTGAGAGGGAGCTGGGTTGAAGGAGAAAGAAGCATGGAGAGAGCCAGGTAGATGGCACAGACCTGAGGCTGTCTGATGGAAGACCATTGACCACACTCATCAAGAGCTTGGTGAGGAGAAATGGTTTGTGGACTCCCAGGATTCTGATTCTACAGAAATGAAGGAACCTCAGTATCTGTATTCTTAACAAACGTTCTTGATTATCATGACGCAGCCAAGTTGAGGAAGTAATGGTGTAGAGGACCTGTCAAAAACTATAACAACAGTATCAGAACCCCTGTGTATTTGTCAGCTTGCTCATTGCTGAGACCAAATATGTGATACCTACAACTTAAAGGAGAGTAGGCTTATTTTGTCTCATGATTTCAGAGGATTCAATTCATCGTCAGCTGGTCCTAAAGCAGAAACATCATGGGGGTGGGGTGAGTGAAGCGAAGCTGCTCGCTTCCTGGTGGCCAGGAAGCAGGGTACAGGGAGGAGCACAAGTGAGAGATCTGCCCTAGGGACCCACCTTCACCAGCTGGGCCCCACCTCCTAAGTGAACAGCAGTGGATTCCTATAGTGCTCCCATGATCAAGCACTTCTCCAGGAGTCTCTTAATCCAGTCAAAGTGACATTACACTTCACTGTTGCACTCTGTTAGGCTGACCTGCTTTTAAAATAACTTCATGTATATTTACTTCCTCTCCAAAGAGTTTTGAGAGGCCCTCATCTCTGACAATTTGTTCAAGCTCTCTGAACTCTCCTCTCCACGGTAAGGCATTCCAGAAATGAAAGGACTTGCAGAAATAAATGTTTCTGGAAAACACATGCTCTCCCAGGGTGATGTAGAATGTTTTTGGCTGCAAATAACAGAATGGCAAACTGAATCCGATTCAAATAATGAGAATGTCTGACAAGAAGTTTGGTTGCAGGGTTGATTGATTCTGCTTTTTAGTCAGGTCATTAAAAATGGAAGGTCTTCCCATTCCTCCCCTCCTTACACAGAATATTGGTTTTTAATCTTCAACTTGTTTCCTCATGATCACAAAAGGGCTGCCCCAACTCTAGATGTCATATCCTTATTAAATCACATCCAAAGTAGGACATAAAGAGAAGTTTCTCCTTACATGCCATTTTTAATCAGAGGAGAATTTTTCCCCAGATCTACAGAAGCCTCCTTCTCAGGTCCCACAAAGTTATATGGCCATGGTCTTTCTGAGTAGTTGAAATCTGACAGGAAGAAAGAAGGGGGGGGGGCTGTGGCAGAGGCCACCAATGGCATTTGTCATAGCTACTTCTTCGAGGAACAATGAGAAGTTTTCGGAGTTTTTGATGTCTGTGTTTCCCTATCTTTCTGATCAGAGACCCTGAACAACCCACCTTTCCCATAACGACGCAGTCTCAGCATGGAGCAGAGTACTGTAAAGCAAACTTCCCAGGCCCGAATTTAGGCTGCCCGAGGAGTTACTGGCCCAGGGATCTTTGAGGAGCCACCCCTCCCCCTCCGTTCCTGTGCTGGGAAGGCCTTTTAGCTCCAGCCTCCAACACCGCGGGGCGTCTTGATATCCGGATGTCAACTCTCACATCTTCCATGTCATTGCACTTGCCACTACCTCCACCTACCTTTTAATTTCTAATTCTGTTCTGGGCTGACAAATCAGATAACCAAGTCTTCTAGAAGTCTGCGTTGAATATGAGCCAGGGAGCTGTGAGTGAGGGGTCAGGAAGTGCCGTTTCCAACATTAGTGCAGTGTCTAGAGTGGCTCAGAGGCTCTGACACTTGTTTCTGAGGAAGGAGATGGTTGATTGACTGATCGGTATTTTAAAAAAATCTTTCCATTTGAAAAAAAAATCAAGCTTACGAAAAAACTACTAAAACAATATGTATATATTGCTATATTCACAAGTCATTAGGATTCAACAATTCTTAATATTTTCCCACATTTTTTCCTCTCTGTATATGAGCACACACGTATTTATTGTGCATGTTATTGTTGTTATAGTTCACATTTCCTTTAACTGCAGTGATTGGGACCAGAAGTATTTCAGATTTTTTTGGGTTGTGGAATATTTGCACATCCAAAATGAGATATCTTTTGGATGGAACTGAATTCAAAATGCAGAATTCATGTGTAGTTATATATACCATAACCATGTAGCCTGAAGGTAATTTGACACACTATTTTTCAGTGCACCTGCGTTTTGACTGGGCCCCATCCCGTGAAGTTAGGTATGGAATTTTCCATTTCTAGTATTGTTTCAGAACTCAAAAGTTTCAGATTTTGGAGCATTTCCAATTTTGGGATTTTTAGAGTAGGATACTTACCCAGTATTGCTGCTGCTGTTATTAGTGTTGGTATTATTTTGTAGCTGAGCCATATGAGAGTGAGCTGCAGGCATCGTGACATTTGGATCTTATCCTTCCTCCCCTAACTCATAGGGATGGTTACAAACTCTTATATAGCTGCAATACAATGACCAAATTCACCAAGTTTGACATTAAGACAATACTATTATCTATTAGATAGACTTTGTTCAAATATGGCCGGTTGCCCCAATAATGTGCTTTTGAGCATTGCATCTTCTCCTTCTCCTTCTCCTTTTTCTTTTTTTAAAAAAACCCAAACCAAGATCCTGTGTTGAATTCCATCAGACCTTTGAAAGCCACTAGCCAGTTGGGGTCTGTGTTCTGAGAGCCCCGGCTGCCAGAAAACTCACCTCTGGGTAATTAGTGCCTCTCCGAGTTGACAGCCACAGAGGACTTTCAACTTTTCAAAAACTTTTGTCTCTGCTTTCATCTCCCTTGATCCTTACAACAGCCGTGCGCAGGAAGCAGGGCACAGGTTAGCATCTCCATTTTATGGGTGAGGAAACAGAGCCGCTGAGGGTCACGCAGCAGGTTCCAGCTGGGAGATCTGTGCCATGGCTCTGGCTTTGCGCTCAATCCTCAGCCTGTCCTCCACTCCCCAGCAGATGAACAGCAGACAAAGGCTCAGCCAGGTCTTCTGCCTGCGGGACTTTGGCCCTGCTGCAGAGGGTACCACCTGTCCCCTAGTTGGCACTTGTCCCTCTGGCACCAGGGACTAGGCAAGCAGATGTCTAGAAGGAAGCGAAGGTCACAGACAGAAGCAACTGGGGACAAACCCTCTCTTGGTTCCAGCACCGGCAGTTGTGTTTCTCAAGACTTTGAGAACGCAGTGAATTGTTCAGGGAGCAGCATCTTCATCTCTTACAGAAGAGGCTGGCTCACTGACTTTCCTGGTCCAGTCTGCCCTTTGTATCCAGGATGCTGTGTGGCCCACCGGGAGCTCATTAGCGCGTCTCTACACTTCCAGACGCCAGCATCTCGCATCTCCTCGCTCAGGGCCTTTTCTGGCCCTGCACACAGAGACAGGAGTGGCACTGGTCCTCTGCAAGCCACAGTCCCTGGGAGCAAGTCCCCGCCTATGCATTGGTGTATAATACCCCACTCCCTCCCCCCTTGGGCAGGCTGGGACACTTGTGATCACTGTGTGGTTCCCTGACTGGTGCCAACTGGGAGCTGTTTATTATCGGCTTGCAATGGGTACAGCATTTGGGAACCTCTACAGCAATTTCAGAGAGTAATTATGTATCTCTTGAACCCAATAATAAAAAGTTGAGGCTCATCTTTTGCATGTTTCGTCTTAATTTTTCTAATAATTTATTTTTATTGTATAATCTAAAGTATCAGGAGAACCAAAAGGTGTGGGTCCAAGATGGCTTAACATTAAAAAGGAACCCCCCTCCCCAATTCTTCACCAGGCATCTGAGAGCCATTCTGCACTGATTCCCAGTGGGATTAAGCTCTGGGTGAGCTGCCTACCATTGCAGTAAATGCATGCTTTATCGAGGCCATGGTCTGACTGTGTTCCCAAAATTTCACATATTGGAAACAATCCCTAAAGTCTTATGTTGGTGGTATTTAGGGGTGGGCCTTTGGGAATGATTAGGATTAGAGTGGGTCATGAGAGGGGAACCTCATCATAGCACTAATGACTTCATAGAGGAAGAGAGATCTTAACTAGCACGGTACCATCTACATCAGGTGATGCCTCTGCCATAACACAGTGCAACAAGAAGGCCCTCACCAGATGCTAGCACCATGCTATGGGACTTCCCAGTATCCAGAACTGTGTGCCAAATAAACTTCTGCTCTTTATAAATGATCCAGTCTCAGGTAGTTTGTTATAGCAACAGAAAATGGACTAAGACAATTGCTTCACTTCCCTGTTTTATTTCCCCATGATTTTCCCAGTGCTTTCTGGAATATCTGCTAAATGCACACTTTACATCTGAATTCTTGTCTCAGAGTCTGATTCTGGTGGGAAACTCACCTAAGACAATGATTTCTGTTTCTTTCCAATGAATTCCAGAATGCAGTTACATCTTGGGCTTTTCAAGTGTTTATATTTTTGAAACAAAATGCCTAAGTTTCTCCATGTAAATACTTGAAAATACTACAAGACTTTAAGAGCATTTGGGGCAATTCAGGAGGCATTTAAAATAATTCTATGTCTTATTTATTTAAAAACATAGTGAGGAGTGGGAGCTCCTGGAATTTGATCACCTGTACTTATCCATGTGTTAATTTCACAAAAGCAGCCACTGGTTCGCTGCCTTCTCCCTCTTTGTTCTGCTTTGCCCCCAGAAAAGTTTCAAAGGTTGCACATGCTTTGCATCCCCCTCCTAAGCTCCAGGGGTCTTGAGATCCTGGGAGACAGACACCAGGCCTATGAAGCAAGATCATACTCATTCTCAGAGTCTTCTAAATACATGGGATTTCAAAGGAGCTGATCGCAAATCAAAGTAAAGAGCCATAGTCTTGGCTTTGTTCCCTGTCTGCTGTTTGTATATTTTATATTATGCATGGGCCGGGGGCGCCCACGGTGGGGCCTGCTGGTTATAACCACAATCAATCAATCCCAACCTATTTTCAGGACCTGCCAGCCACCGGGACAACTTCCAGAACTAGTGGAGCCCTCTTTTCATTATTTAAAGACTGGTGAAAGGATGCAAAAATACTTAATGAAAGGGTCAGGCTGACCAAATGACAAGGCAGCTCGGGCTGGAGGCCCAAGCTGTCTTAGAGGCATTAGCAGTTTGGTCTCTGAAGCCAGGTGGCCAGATTGGGCATCAGATCCTCATTTCACCCCAAGAGTCAGGGTAGAGTCAGGGTACCTTGCAGCTGAGGTACCAGAGGGGCCAATGAGACATTTACTGCTGATTTCTCTACTACCTTTGCAGTCTTGAACTTTGTCCCTGGTCAAGACACAGTGGCCAAGAATCTCCCGTGATGTGAGAGGTGGCCCAGGGCAAAGCTAGTGATTCCACAGAGGAAGGTGCACTGCAGCATAACTAGGAGACAGGGAGCAACAAAGCAAAGGTCTACATTGTCATCTTTGTGTTATGCGCCTCTGGGAACAACAAACATGGCCCACTATGCTTCTTTGAGCAGGCAAACAGGTCAGTGTTCTGCCAGATGCCTTCAGGTTAGGATGCCAACTAAAATTCAGGACCCCAGTTACATTTGAACTTCAGAGAAGCAAATAATGATTTAAAAAAAATTACAAGTATATCCCAAGTAGTGCATAGAGGTGAACTTATACTAAAAAGAAATGATTTGTTACTCATCTGAAATTCAAATATAATGAGCCATCCAGGATTCTCGTCTGCTTACTGTGGCAGTAGCTCTGCTTTGGATCCTTGCTCCCATTTTTGCATGCTCCTTGTCACAGCTTGGGGTGGCTTTGCCTGTGATACTTTTTTGGCAGGCCAGCTGGATGTGCATAGGAGTTTGCCTTCACAACCTGGGGGAAGGGTGGTCCTAAACTGATCACAGGATCAGGGAGCCCAGCTCTCTTGTTTTGGGCTGGCCGAGTTGGGTCTGATATTGCACACTCAGTTGGCTTTGTCCCCTCACCTGTCCTTCTCCCTGGCTCCCTCACCAGATTCCCCTGTGAGCTCTTCCTGAAGAACCACTTGCTTCAGAATCCACAGCTCAAGGTCTAAGAGAGCTCTAGGAGGAAGGAGTCTTCAGGGGCTAGAGAGGAGGCTGGTGGTGAGTTTTTGAGAGCCCAAGAGACAGCACTGGGGAGGCCTTCCAGGGAGAAAGGCTCTTGATCCCTGCACTAAGCCATGCCGAAGAGTAAGATGGGGAAATTAAGCTACCCTGACTCTTTTCTGGAGATGGAAGTTGGCCAGCCCAGCAGCCTCCAGAGCGGGACCTGAGCACTTGCCTCCTGTCTGGGAACCCACTGCTGTAAAAGTTGCACTTGAATGCACAATCTCCCGTGGGGCCTCTGAGCCAGACTCGAGCCCACATTCTGTGCCTGCTTGGCTCAGTTCTGACACTGGTAAGACACGCATGTGCCCAGCCGGGCTGCCTGGCATGCACAAACTACTATGGATGTGTTGGGAGCAGGGAAGTCTAACAGTCCATGCCCTACCAGTCCATGCTCTGTGTGTCTCAAGGCCTCCCTGATTGGACCCAGTCTCTTCAACTTGCTGCAACTGCACCAAGTCTGTGGCCATTGAACATTTAAATCCTGAGAAGCTAGAACAGGGGAGTTGCACACATGGCAAAAGGTGAGGGCAGGCAGCCACAGGGGTCCAGCACAGGGCCAGCCCCAGTCCCTGAAACAAGGAAAGGTTGTTCTCTGTGTTGGCTCCACATTAGAATCAGCCAGGAGAGCTTTAAACCATTCTGATGCTTTTGTCTCAAGCCTAGAGATTCTGTTTTAATTGGTCTGGTTGTGGCATGGGCATCAGGATTTTTCAAAGCTTTCAAAAGATTATATTATGCAGCTAGAGTTGAGAGCCATTGAGCCAGCAGGTCCTGTACCAGGCTGGAAAACTTTGGGGTACCCAAGGTAAAATGGGGTGATGGTTTTAGAGATAGTCATCAGTTCAAATCCTGGGTGCCTGCATTTCAGGAAAGAAGTTGTTCTAGTTCAGCAGTTGCTGCAGTGGATCTCAAAGTCAGGTGGCATCAGGAGCGCCTGCAGGGTTTGTGAAAACTCAGGAGGTCAGGCCCCGCCCCCAAACTTCTGATTCAATAGGTCTGGGGAGAAGCCCAATATGTTCAGTTTCCAATGAGCCCCTGATGAGGTGGAGGCCGCTGTTCTGGGGTGCACATGTTGCAAACCACTAAGTTGCAGTTGTCCCTTTATCTACAGTTTTGCTTTCCCCAGTTTCAATTACCTGCACTCAATCACTGTCCGAAATTATTGCAAAGAAAATTCCAGAAAGAAACAATTCATGAATTTTAAATAACTTTCATTATTGCTTTCATTGTTCTACTTTATTGCTAGTTATTGTTGTTAATCCCTTTGGGCCTAATTTATAAATTATACTTTTTATCATAAGTATGTATGTATAAGAAAAAACCCCAGCATATATACAGTTTGGCACTATTTGTGTTTTCAGGTATCCATAGAATGTCTTGGCACATATCCTGTGTGGATAAGGAGGTCAGTTTTATATATATATATATACATATATATATATAGATAGATAGATGTATATTTATTTAT